CCATCCATTCAATGCGTTGAGAGAAAAATGAAGCCTCTTTCCCCATGTCTGCCCCGGCCCATGGGAGGTGGAAGGGGCTGCAGTGCTCGGGCACGGAGCTCGGCCGCAGTCTGAGTCAGGTCCCCCCTTCTCCTCTTGTGGGACCTCGTAGGGGACAGGAGCACCCACGTCACTGCCACCCGGCCCCTGCAGAGGGGCCAGGCGCCTGCGCTACCCACCCCAGAGACCCGAGACGGAGGTAAATGAGACACCCTGCTCTGCGGGGGAAACCCAGTCACGCGCGCCCTGCTCGGGCCGCGGGGCGAGCTGGAGGTGGGCAAGAGCACTTAACTGCAAGCGACCCTCGAGCACGCAGCGCAGGCACCAGAGGGGCCGGGGAACTGCTGTTCTGGGCACGCTGCAAAACAGCACATGTCTGCACGAGCTAGAGAGAAAAGGAGGTGGCTGCCTGCTGCCAACGCGCCCCAAAGCTCTAAAAAGGGGAGCTGAAAAACCCTCGTGCAAAAGCAGAGTGCACTGCTCCCTTGCTAGTGAGGCAAAAAGTAGTTCTGCAGTCATTTCAGTCATTTCACTTTGCTGCCTTTTTTTTTTTTTTTTTTGTAATAGAGACATAGCCTCCTAAATATCTGAATGATTTGAAGAAATTCTTCCCGCTGCTCCCCGCATGCGGGGCCTTTTCAGCAGCAGCCTGGACAGGCCCTGCAGCTGCTTGTAAAGAAGCGAGCAGTGAAAGCTCCACTGCTCCGCAGCACTGAACCGTCTGCCCAGCCTTTAGAAAACTAAGCCCAAATCCAAGCAAAGAGCTGCTCTCCGAGGGAGCTCTCTGGCAATCCTGCCACAGAAAAGCCCTCTGCAGCAGGAAATCTATTGTCGGGGCAGAGCGCGCTGCACGGCTTCGCTGGCTGCCCCTCAGTTGGGCATTTTAGCAGTAAAGGGACACGGGTTTCCAAAGTAAACCGTAAAAAAGTAAAAAAAAAAAAGTTTGCTTTGGTCCCTGATGAGGCTTTGCTCCAAGTGAACCCCTGCTGGCTCTCATGACAGGTTAGCTGGAGTGAAACCAAATGAAGACTTCAAGACTTGTCCTTTCAGGAACCAAGATTTAGTTAAAACTTAGAGTCACAAAAATCTCTCGAGCATTGAAACTCAATGCCACATTTGAATGCAGATCTGTAGAAAAGCAGTTTGTTTTCTTTGTGTAAATCTTGCATGTTAACATGATTACCTCTGCCGGGCAGGTGCCTCCACATGTCCATGTTTGCTTTGGCGCACAAGCTGCCCCTCTCACCTCTGCAAATTCATGTAATTTAGTGCCAAATCCTGCCCTTCGTTAGGTGACAGTGCCAGGGAGCTGGGCTAGAGCCCACAGCGGGCAGGGGCCCGGGCCCATCGTACGGGTCGGTGGCTACGACCCCGGCGCGCCAGGAGCCCGTGCTCACCCCTCGCTGCACTTGGTGCTCAAGCTGTTGCTGCTGTTGCCAGTGCTCCGCAGCCTCGTCTCCCCCACTTAAATTCCCCGCTCCTGGAACCACCTCATTTTCCGATTTCAGCTTCCAGGAAAAATAAAAGCAAGTTTTTAGGTGTCGAGATGACATAAAAATACAAGAATACGACTCCCTAAGGCTCAAAACAAGACACTCAGATTACTAATACCTTCAAGCATCACTCTAGGACTACCTGCAGAGATTTCTGGGAGCCAGCTATAGCACTCAGGGTGGATTTCACTGCCTTTCTTCCCTGCACAGACCAGGCAGCGCCTGACTCGCCACCTGCCTCCTTGCTGTTTGCTCTCTTAACGTTCTCAAGAGCAAAAACTGGCATTTTTTTTTTCTTTTTTCTTTCCTGTTTTAGAAACTGGTCAAAGAGGTTAAATAGGACACAGGTAGCACTAGTAAAGACTTCTCCTTCTTAACTAACCACAAAAATATCTCTAGCAAGACCAGGTGCTAAGGAGAAGATGTTCGAAGGCAGGATGTGCACATTTGGGTATCCAGGGCTCTCCCCATGCTCCTCGTGACACTGCAGAGAGGACCCAGGTGTCATCCTGCCCACATTTCAGGGAAACCGGCTGACCAGCAGCAGCCTGGGGGCACCCTGTTGTGCAAGGCTAGAGGCACTCTAGTGCTTCCAAATTGCTTTTTGTTTAGCAGAATAATCCTTAACATCCAGATCTTGCACCTCATTTTTCCTTCTAAGGCCTAAGCAATGATAAAAGCAATTAGCTCCCTAAATCCTTCTCTTATCTGTAATTGGGTGTGATTTTTTTTTGTTGTTTGTGAAAAAAAAAGCACTGAACAAGAATAGCAGCCTCCACTTGAGGCAGGAAAGCGGGCCCTTATGACAGACAGCTGCCTGAGCACACCAACACCAAGGGATGTGTTTGCAGGGACGCTCCCAGCCACGGGCTCGCACTGTGCCCCAGAGGGGACGGATGGAGCTGGGCAGTTTTCGTGGAGCTCTCTGCTTTCCATGGGAAATGAGGAGGCTGCGGTGAATGCAGCGTCACCCTGCAAGCAGTGGGGCAGGCCCATGCTGCCCGGCACTTCCAGATGCTTGGAGGAAGTGTGGGAAAAAAACAACCGGGAAGCAGAGAGGCTGTGACGGCACCAAATCCCCAGGCTGCCTCTTTCCCAGCGCCGGCCTCCCCTCTGGATGAGCGCGGGGTTTCCAGCAGGTGTGAAGGAGCCAGGAGACACGCAGGAGATAAAAGGCGGCGGGACGCGGCGCGCAGCACCGCGGAGGCCACCCCACCAGCACGGCACAGCGGCTCCTCGCAGGCAGAGGCACCATTATCTAGTTCGCAGATGGACCACCCAGAAAATCTGGGAGCAATTAGGAGGGAGAACAAACAAACGCGGGGAGAGCGGGCGGAGGGAGGCTGGGCCGGCCGGGAGCCCTGACATCATCTCCAGGCAAGCGCTGAGAGAATGAAGTGAAGCTACACGGAGAGCAGGAATGCACATGAAAGAGTTTGCAGTGAGGATGCAATAAAAGAAAAGGCTATGAAAACACGTAGCATGTGAATGAGTTACAACACATTGGCCATTACATTTACCCGATGTCAGGACAGCGTGTAAACAGAGAGGAAACCCCTCCAGCTCTCACACATGCATGTGCACACACACACAAGCACAGGAAATGCTGGCTCTCAGTTACAATCACTGCTTGTCCTGCAGCCCAGGGCTTCAGCGTGCAAAAGCCAGACAACCTTCTCAGGCTGTCAACGACAGGGAGCTAATATGGGCAGAAAGACCAAGTTCTACGAATCAACACAAATGCAACTCTACATCCTGTGCACAGATACAGCCCCAGGGCTTACACGGACGGATCTCTGTGTCCAGGAGCAGCCTGTTCTCAGGTGCGTTGGATGCTACTTTGGGGGCATCTAATCTCTCTACTAACCACCAGTTCACATCTCAGAGTTACACCTTCATGTGTCCTTGCCTGGGGGGCTGGCCTGGCCGCTGCCACTTCGCTTTGGACCGACTTCAAGGTGGCTATTCAGACCCTCGAAAGCAATGCCCGTTTTTAATTAAATGCCTGATTTTAGGCACTTCCGTTTGCTGATTTTTAGCTGTGGTACAGAGCACAGGCTTTGTTAAACTGTGCTACAAAGCTTGCTTTTTCATTCTGCACAATTCTAAGTGCAGATTCTAGGAGCACTGCTTATAAATTTTATTTTATAAGATTCAAACATAATGGCAGAAGATGACTCATAAAATGAAAACAGAATAAGCCAAGTGTTTTGAAGTGATTTCAATCAGTAACACTGTTTACTTTGCCTTGGCCTCTGAGAGGCAGACTCTGGTCACTAAGGATGTCTTACAAGTCTTACAAACACATTACAGTCGACACAAGACTTTTTTTTTTTTAATTACAATTTACTATAGGCTTGGTAAGCTCACTCCCTGAAAATTTTCCCTAAAAACAGTGCTTATTAACTCACGAGTTCAGTTGAAAAAAAGTACTTTCCAACATGCCTTAGCAGCAGCTACAATATGGCAATTAGTTTACTTCAGAATAGACATCAAAGGCTCAAGGACGACCCTGCCCCGCAAGAACAAAATCTTTACAAAGCCCCATTCCACTCAGTTTGCTAGTTTATAAGGTTTGCTAAAATCCAGTTTAATGATCATGCAGTCTCCTAGCAAGTCATGTTGGTGCCATATTGTTTCAGGAACAGAAGAATTAGTCCTGAACCTTTTCTGAACTTGGGAAGCTTTTTAGACTAGCTGATGCAGAACTGCATTCTGGGGTGGCAAAACTCTTAGATGCAAAAGCCTCCCTAGGATTTTCTTTAGCTTCTTTCACAGGAGACAAAAGTTGCCACAAGACACACACTCTCCTCATAATGAAGGATTCAACCATAGCAATATGTTCAAATCCATATGGTGCAGATATCAGGGAGAGGTATGATGAGAAACTGAGACCCCTTAATGAAGGGGCCTATAAATTGCAGCAGAAAAGAGCAAAAGCATGAAAACAAATACTCGTGAGGTGAAACTAACCAAACAAAGTTGTTGGGTTCAATGGATTAACCAGTTCTGCTTTTAACAGCATGAAAACAAATACTCATGAGGTGAAACTAACCAAAGTTGTTGGGTCCAATGGATTAACCAGTTCTGCTTTTAACAACAGTTTAACTCTCTTCATATCCTGAGTCACAGTTTCCTCCCTTGACATGGTTGTCAGATTGCTATTTTTTCCCCAAGGGCAAGGAAAATACACCCTCTTCTCTAAAACAGTCTGGCCCCATGGCCAGGCAAACATGTTACCCAGCAGGAGATTAAGCTGCAATTTCTAATAGAGCCTCACAGCAATAACGACAGAGAAATGAAACCAGCAGGGTTGACTTGGGTGAAGATGTGAAAAGGAACAGCAAGAGTGAATGACTAATACTGGAGAGCTGCCTGCCTGGACTCACCCCGGAGCGAGGAGGGAGAAATAGGCAGGGGAGAGGACGAGAAGGGTCTGTTTAAAACAGTAGTATAGGATTGTCCCACCTCTTTCCGTTGCTATCACGGAGCATGGCTTTGCCCAGCTCTCTGGTCTTGGTCTCCAGTTCCTGAACCTCCTCCAGCAAAGTTTTGTGGTAGACATGCTTGGCCCTGTACCACAAAGGAAAGAGAAAAACAGAACAACAAAACAAAAAGTACACATGAACATTTTTATCTTTGTAAAAGATCATTTTTTTCTTTTGCAGACGAAAGGTGCAAGGTCCTCCTTTCAGAAAGACTGGGGAAATAAGGCACGGGGAAGGCACATACAGAAGGGCCCAGCTTCACAGCACCAGGGAGGTATCACACAGGAAACGAGGAATCAGAAGGACTTCCAGTTGAGCAGAGCTGGCCTGCTCCAACCCATGCTCCCCTAAAAACTAACTGCACTAGGGAGACCTGACACTACTGCTGCGGGACAACTCCAGACCCGGGAATTCAGACAGCAGGATGGGGCCACACTGAATATTCACGTGGCAAAACACAACTCCACTCTGTTTCTGAGCCCTGTCTCACGCCTCCCTGGAAGCACGAGGAGAGTCTCTGGCAATAACAGGCCTCCATTTCAGTTATCAGCTTCACACGGCTCAGGAAAGTGCTTCTCTCCCCACTGAGCTTTCAAAAACGCTGTAACAAGATGGGCCATGACCTATTTTCTCACTTGGGGCATTCAAGGAGCAACATACACAGCACCTACATGACGAGATTTGAGAACAACGTCCCACAAACACAGACTCGGGCCTTTTTTTTCAGCCTCAGCTATTACTACAATGCTTTTATTCCTAACTTTTGCTGGCATTACGAAGAGCATCCAGCCCCTCCATCTTGACACCTGCAAAGCAAGAATGAACAACCCAGGGATCTTCTTCTCCAATGGCAGTTTTTGATCAGCTTCCTCTTTTGTGTCACATAAAGCACAAAAAGCGTCCCATGAGATGGTACTGATTCACATGCAACTGCATGATGAGCTTGAAAACAAGATGGAGTCAAGTCAACTGAGAAACTATTTGCTCCACTGCATTAAAATTATAATCAATTCTAGAGATGGCAAGGATTGCTTTATAAATTTTATAAAAATCTTATACATAGATACCGTAGTCTTCAACCAGTGATGCAAAAAAAAGTCAGTCTATGCCTGCTAGAGTGCATAAGTGGTGTATGCATTATTAAAATATAATAAAGGTGCATTTCTTTTTTAAGACATGATTTTTATTACTCCTTCTCTGGCAAAGAGGAAACACAAAGCCCACAGAATCTTTGCTCGAACCATTTGAGATGACTATGGCTTGATATTAATACTGAGCTACCTAAGGACGTTTTTTTTGTGGTGCCAAACTAGACCCCAAATATTGCAAGGTGAGAAGCTAAATGAAAGCTGTTTTTCAAAACAAATCTGAACGGAAAAGGGAAAAAAAAACAAACCAAATGAAACCAAAAAAGCTAACAAACAACGGAAAACAAGGAAAACTGAAGCCCAGCAAAACTTGGAAGCAAAAGGAGAATATTACGCTATTAGAAGTAAACCCAGATAAAACCACCAGAGATGTATGATTTGCTAGAGAGCAGCAACATGTAACTGGGCGATAAAATAGGGCAGCAAGAATATTTTAAAACTTGTACTGTTTCAAGAATGTGAGTTTACTTCTACTTCTACTGCTCAAAAGTTAATTAGATCCAAGCTACTATAACTACTTAGATGAATGGTAAGACTCAATCTCCTCTTTGAATAAACTACAGCCATTTTTAAAGAGCACAAAGCTTTGGGCTATTAACTCTTACAATTTTACAAATGACTTGGCTTTCACGCTCTCTTAATTTGGGTAATACATTAAAACACTGGCCTTCAGCTCATATCCTGCCTTTTAAAGAGACCATACCTACTATTGCAAAATTGAAGACTAAGTTTCAACCTTTTAAAATCCTTTAAAATCTGTTTTCTCATAAGCAAGAGCATATAAACCGAGGAGTTACGCGATCTCTCCCAAACTTTTTGCTCATCTTTATCTTTTCACACTGCATAAGTGATGACAGATGTTTTCTTTTCCCTTAGAGAGCAACACTGAGTTCAAACCATGAACTCAATGGATACTGAGCAACACAGGCCAAGTAGCGCAGCACACTCAGAGCAGTCATCGCACGGGTACTGCCCGAAATGGACACTGGCACCCCAAAGTCACAGGTGCTAAAGTATTTCAAAAACAGTGAGAAATGTTGAAACACATGGGCTCTGTGTCAGGACAGGATAGCTATAACCTTCCCCCACCTTGCAGGTAATATTTACACATTGAATCAGTTCTTGACTTGGAGCAAGAACCTTCATAGAAGAGTGATTAATTTAGTATTTCTAAAAGTGCCAGCACTAACCTATCCATTAGTTCTGAAAGTACAGAACAACATCTGGGCCTATTCCCATCAAAATCCATGAAAATTATTCCTTGGATTGCTCGCAGTGGGACTGGACAGTTCATGTTTTTTTTTTGACAACAGCACATTATTAACTTTTGATACATGAAAATATAGACAAAAGTTGCAGTGTTTGCCTTGCACTTAGCTTCAGATGCATTATCAGCCCTCAATAAATGATGAGCTCCTGTGCTGGATGTTACTCTTCAGCTGATGTTTGATGCAGTACGTAAAGGCAGACTCACCTTTGGCTCATTGTGCATTGTAAGAACAGCTGGGGGTTATTGCCATATTTTGAGCCCTTCCCCTTCCAAGCCAGGGAAGGCAGAGTTTAATGGTCCTAGGAAAGCACCCGGGAGGTTTTGGAGATTAGAATCTGTCAGGGGGGGACCTCTTTCCCAAACATGCTGGTGTCTCTGCTGTGACTCATTTCAATAGCACCATTTCAGGTGCCTTGTGCTCCAGGGACTGCAAGTGTGTGGATGGGAAGAGCTCCTCATAATTTCTCCTCTCTTACCTCCACTGCCAGAGCTGGCAAGTGCAGTAAGCTACCTCCCCTGTCAGCCTTCTCCTACTCTCAATAAAAAAGACATATTAAGACTTTGGTAATTATTGGAAGGCTCAGGAAATTTCTCACTATAACGCTAAGTGTTGAGACACCAGTTATTAATAAATTCCTGCCCAGCAAGGAATAAAATAATTTTTGCTGGAATAAACTGTTTTTATGATTCCTACATAGGTTTATGGGCCAAGTATTTCAAGACTTCCTAGCAGCAGTGACATGTATTCAAGTGACATGTGCCAACTGTGAGCAAGAACTCGCCTTACAAAGTGCTGTTCACGTCACCAGTAGCACAACTGGGACTTCTGTAAGGCAAAAAAATAAATCCAAACCAAGCTACTCAATTCATGGTAGTGGACCAAAGTTAACAATGTGGTATCGCAGGCAAGTACTAATAATAAGCTTCCTTCTCATTCTAAAAAGGGAAGTTTTCCACATTGCTTTGAATCACTTAAACATACATATATACAACAGGCAAATACATATACATTAGGCCTAGAGCTGCATGGGAGGTAAGAGGCGTGTTGACAACTGTAGCCTGTGTAACAAAAGGACACGCAGCACTAGCTCACACTTGCATTATGGCAGATTTGCATTACATGCTTGCACACAGCATTACAAAGCTTGATAATGGATACAGAACACCACTTAGGAAATAACAATATTTGCAAGGGTCTAAAGCAACTTTTTTTTTTCTTTTTTTTCTTTTAATCCCTTCTAGCTTCTTCCAGATGAAAGCTCTATACTGTACTTATGTTTTTCTGGCACTGCTCTGTACTGAAATTAGGCATACACCTTTAGGGTCACATAGAACCTTTTTCTGTGGACATATGCTTCTTGTCCAAAAGAAACTGAAAGGAATAAATTCCTTGGCCATAAGAAGTCAGAGCTCCTGGAATTTTATGGCCGAAAACGGATTCTGTGGAATTGCAGACAGCAGCGCGGTGTAACCACTGCTGTGGAAACGTGCCGTCTGCTTTCCAGGGGCCTTGGGCTCGAGCTGTGCATGGCAAGCCTCCTGGAAAGGAAGCAGCCCTTTACTCCTTCCATATGCTAGTGCTCATAGCTGTGTCATTTCATTTTTCCTCCTTAAAATGTTAATCATGTTAATTTTTCAGTGCTGAGTTAAAACAAAAAGGAGAAAAAAGTCCTTCTCAGAGAACAGACTTTTGCTCAATGTTGATAGGAGCCTCCTGTCTAAAATCCGCTGGGAAAATAACCAGTGTATCAGTCATACGTGTTCATCTTGAGAACTTCACAATCTCTGCACATTCTTAGTCTGAACCACTGAAAGGAGTACATTACCAAGATTTCTCTAAGAAATATTAAAGAATAGGCTCAGTCAGTAAGAGAGTTTTAAATCAGCAATAGCTGAGGATGAGCCTGCCTAGCTCTGGCCTGTTTTACAATTCCATAGCCATTTTTCAAAGCACTGATAAGAACAGAGGATAACTTAAGGACACATCCGACCTTCAGCTATCACAAAAACATCTCGAAAATGAAATCAAAATCTTGGACACCAAGATGATGCTGCAAACAATTTATCTCCTGTTTAACTGTAATGACAGGGGTATTCCATTGACTTTGTAAGTGGTTTTAAATAATGCCTGGTCCAGGAACAAGACCTGTTGTACTAAATTAATTTAATTTTTTTTTAAAGCTTTAAAAAGCTGGTCATAGACACAGCTAATGTTAAGTATCCAGAGCTAAACAATCTAGCCTCAACTTTAGACTTTTAAAATCATTTTCAATGAGGAGATCTAATAAATGCACCAAAAAAAATCTCTAGTATGCTAGACTATTAAGTTATAGTTTGGCCTCAACAGACGTATTACATTATCATACCTACCTTTAATTTTAGGAGCGTAGCTCATGAAAATTAACCTGAGGGAAAGGGAAGACATTTTGAAGTATTTAAAGCACATCAGTATTTACTGATTAGTAGATTTGCCTACTAACAGTTCAATTTAGCTGGGCTATCAGCCCCATAGGAAAAAAAAAAACAGATTTCCAGATGTGCATATGACTTGATTTATCCTTTTAAGCTGATCTTTGAGATGTACTTGTATTCGCGAAACATTCTGCTCTTCCAGCATTCCTCCCTAAAGAGGAATCTTCTTTCACTGACGGATAGCTCCTTCCCAGAGCTAAGTGTAACGTATTATGATATTTAACTTTGGGTCAAGAGACAAGTTAGAAATAGCATCTCTTGCCTCATACCCTTCTTGTAATGAGTTATGGAAACCAGAATACCCTCAGGAAGAAAAGGGTAAGGCTTTCTTTGCCACTCTTCTAGCACACTGGGAATGCGACTATCAACTCATCTCTCAGCACTCAGAGTCCATGGGAATCTTTTACTTTGGTCCAAAGAAAAGCATTTCCTCAAAATAAAAGCTTCTTGGTTGTAACACAGCTTTCCACTGCGAAGGATGAAAACTTCGGGGTTTAAGACATTTAAAGCAAAGTGAACAAAACACAAGAAATTATACATGAAAATGATAATTCTACACTGAAATGCAATGCTTTGAAAACAGGGGAATTTGGGAGGAGAAGGGAATGACACACACCAGTGTTCTGTGAAGCTAGTCACACCTCTTGGGGTAGGGAAGGAATCAGGATTTTCCTTCAAATGTGGAGGCCAGAGAGTTAGGCTCTTCTGTCAGTTAGATCAGCCAAGTTGGGGAGGACTCACTGTTAAAGGAGAGCCTAAAAAACTGGGAGCTTGCAGGGCACCAAGTACCACAATTTTACTTTCAACCCAACTACTCAGTCCAGCCAAAGAAAATACTGGGCTGCCTTCAGGAGCATTGCAGTTATAAGGTCTAAATTTGCCTCTAACTAAAGGTAGACAGAGCAAATACTCATGAAAAGAAAGATCTTCATTACAGAGAGAAGGCTCCATCCTCTAGCTCCAGGACTAAAACTGCTCATTCTTTCGCACTACTGGTTGCACTTGCATATAAGAAATGACTCCCACTTTCAGCTTTGCTGAGAGGTCCACCAAAGCAATATCACTATTTTGCATTCCCTGAAAGGCTTTGCAGATGCTTTACAGAGAGACACTGAACTGGCACAGCACATGCACGCAGAACGATTCCTACCACACCATGAGGGCTCTTTGAGGACTTACGCTCTCCATGCCACATCTTTAACAAGGCACGCAGTGGGCACGAGAAATAAGCCAAACCAGAAGTATCCGCAGCGCAACACCATTCCAGCCTGCGAAGAAACAAACAACAAATGAGCATTTTCAAGTCATTACACTAAATTAACTGGTTATTTACAAAAAAAAACAGTCGGAGCAATGGCATCAAATGGGCACTGCAGCCACAATCACAACTATGTTGAAATCCCAGTGATGTTCAGCAAGTGTGGGACGGGGGAAGTCTCATCAGCTCTTAATAGAAATTGTGCCTGCAAATAACAACCAGGAACATTATGTCCCATTGGCATCACTTCCTAAAATCTAAAATACTTTGGATATCTTCAGAATGACAAATTATATATATATATATAAACATACATATATATACACATTTTGACCTAATCCTCCACTGATAATAATTTATGCATCCAGGCCGTTATGTATCTTTCATCCAGGGAAAATTGCATGACAAATATGCTTCATTTGCTCTGTTGTCCAACTTTTCTGCCCTTTGCTTGCTCTCCCTCCACCCATGCTTCCAGATTCCTGAGAATCATCAAACTGACATTAAAAAAAAAAAAAAACTCCACAAAATATTTGTGTCATATTCCACTTAAATACAGCATTTCCTGTTCAAATTACTGCCGTCTGAACCCAGAATGGGAAAAATTCACTCCTGTCCCCACAATTGGCTTTTGACGAACAGAGAGCTCAAAGTTTACACTTGCATTTCTTTCACTGTCGCAATGCTTCAGGAGAATGCTTGCTAGGATTTGAGAAAGATGATGTCCAGAAACCCAACATGTCCCAGAATACATAACCCAACATGTCTCAGAATATGTAATTACTTGCAGAACAAAGTTGAAACATGGTGCTTTTTTTAATAGAAAAGCTGTTGTAGGGCTCTCCTCTTAGAACATTTTTCAAATTAATGGTGAGTTAGGCCATGAGCCACTATGTGGAAGACACGTTGCCATCTCTTGCGCACAGATGTGTGCTTCCCATAAGGCTCCTTTAAGTTCTCTAGTAAAATTTACACCAGTGAAATGTCTGGAATGAACTGTGTGCAGCATACACAACCCCAAACGCGGGCTGAAAGGTGTCAGCAGCATTTCCCGTGGCCACACTCCGCCTTCTTGCCAGCCATGGATGTTGCCAGAGGCCTTCCTCAGCGCCTGCGTTTTCCCTCAGCGCCTCACAGGCCACGTTCGCAGGCACGCGGTGCTCAGGCGCGATGCCGTGGGGGGCACGCAGGTGGACGGGGAGGCAGGTAGCGCCAACGCCGCCTCGGAGCGGCCGCCTGCGCCGGCTCACGCAGGCCACGCTCGGTATCACCACAGCGAGTGACCGAGCGAGGCGCCTGCGGCAGCCCGCAGAGCTGAAGCGTTGGGGACCCGCAGAGAGGAAGCTGAGCCACAGAACACAAAACTGAAGAAAACGCCCCCCAGCCACGTGAGGAAACGTGATTTGTGGCTACACCCTCTGTAAGACAAGTCTGCTCGACTGCAGCAGCAGAAGGAACTTCTGCTACTCACTACAGAGAAGACTCAAAACTGAGAAAAACCAGCACATTTCATGGCTGGAACATCCACCTGTAGCACCCCAGATTTTCCCACCCTGTTGATGACTACTTAAAAAGCGTCTGCCTCACAGTCCAGCCTTGTTTAGCAGCAACTTGCCCTTTGACTGTCAAGCAGTGAGGACTTCCAAAAGCATTTTGCCCTTTTTGACTGTTAAATCCCCTGAGCTGCTGCTGCTGCTGGAGCGCCAGAGCAGTGGTAAATCTTGTACTGAAACCAAGCGCGAGTTACACCACGCTGAAACATTTATGGACACTTTGCCACCCACGTGGAGAGGAAGTAAACAAATTCCAGGCTGAGAAAGAGCTCTCAGTCATTTGCAATCTCTCATGCCTACTTCCACATCGGAATGCCCGGAGCATATGGTCAGTTCTGATCTAGGCTTATTTAAGGAAAAGGGTAATAGGAGGGAAATCATTTTAACTCTTTCGTTAGCCGAAGAGATGGACTGTAACAAGAGGGTGGTAAAATGCCATTGGATTTGCTCTCCTGCTTTGCTTTGCCTTAGCTGTGACCTTGCAAGCGCGAGCAGCCTAATCACGTCAGCGTTTCCAGCGACCCCCTCCCGTCCCTTGTGCTAATGAAGGCCAAACAAAGGACCAGAGAGTCCTAAATGCATTTTCCGGTATTTCTGATTTAAGTATTTTACACTCCACTTTCTTAGATAAAAGCAGCTCAAAAGGCTTTTAATACACAAAACAATTCAAATACTTGTCTAGTAAAAACTGAAATTGTAGTACTATGGTTTCATTCAGTAGCCTCAAATCACTTTTGTTATCTCATATGTTAAGCTCTCTTTGCACTGAAGAGCCTTGAGCCAGGTACTTTTTTACCTACAATTATGGATTTTACTTAGGTCTTATTCTGCAAACTGCACCACAACTGTTCCTCTCATTTCAGCCCTGTAACTCACAAGGAGAAAGAGCTTGTTTTTTAAACAAATTCAAAATTTGACCAGCTCTGTCATCACAGAGGCCCCATGACACACAACAAGGTCATTTTTACTGCGGCTGCTGGTGTAAACATTAGTGACTAGCACATCCAAAGCCAACTACCAGAAACCATTTGTCACAGGCACCCATGGAGCACGCACAGCTAGAGCGAGTTCCCCCTTGAAGACGTTGCCGCAAAACTGGCTGCCATCACTACACTGCCGTCCAGCAAGCCACGTCGAGGCTGCCACAGTGACCCTGCTCCTTTCAGGGGACAGAGAATATTTTTAAAAGGATAGATAGAAAAAGAAAAGAAAGAAAAAGCTTAGCTCCAGGAATTTCATCTGAGCAGCAAACAATGTAGGTTCCAATGCCTTTACCATGAGGTGAGCATGTTTAAGTATATTAAAACAAAGAAATAAATGAAAGGGGGTGGGATGCAATAGCACTGGCAGCCAGCAAAAGCCCCATCAAGAAGATTTGCTCGGTACTATGATTATTTTAGAAAGCTTGTGTTAAGTTGTTTTCATTATATATAAAAAGACTATATGTTTTTATTACAGGTTGCAATAAGGAATATATTACAAGCTATTTTTCCACTTTATTATTCTTTCCTAAGATGCAAATAAGTATAACTCCTCATTTTACTTTTCAACCAATAGGTGGTGCCACTAATTTCCATAATTCCTTCCAAATGAGAAATACAATGGCATAAAAAACTCAAGTAGGGGCGGGGAGAAAAATATTTTGGTATTCTTATCACAGCATGGTTAGGCAACGACTGGGGACCAGTAAATGATTCAGACAAACCAAGAGTCTCAGCCTCCTTCAGAGATCGTTCAAGACAAAATTTAAATTCACATTTTGAATAATAAAATCTTTTATTACTTCATTTCCTCATATATCCATGCATCCTAATTCTGATTAAAAACAGACAGTGAAAGCGGCAGATCACCAAGAAAACAGCTGGCCTTGTATTTACAGCATGACAAAAATTATTACTGGAAGCGTGCCCAGATCCTGACCGTATCTGTCTCCACGAGGCACGGTGAGGACCCAATAAGCTACTCAGTTTTGGTTTCATATTCGTTTGGATGCCAGTTTTATACGACCCAGATCTGAGTTCAAACTGCGCTCCACTAGAGACTCGCGGCATCACGGCCAAGGGACTTTGTGCCTCACCAGTCCAAGGTGACAAGGGCACAGCACAGCTCCGTGCTGACTGCGTGGGCTCAGACCGCAGCGACCGTAACTGGAATCATCAGCTGCCATCACAAAGATATGAGTGACAGAGACAGCGGGGACAAGTGTCCCTGAAGGATGCAGCTGCCAGGAGGCACGGCTTGAGCCGCACGCTGCAACGGCAGGACAACAGCAGAACACGTTTATCTGACCGTTACACACACGCGCTCTCTCTTAGAGGGTCTGCATGATCTTGGTCCTCCTAAGGCTGGGTGTTTGAAAGCCAGCACAGGTAGTTCTCTTCATTCAGAGGATCTGGAAGTTTAACTTTGAATGGGCAAAACCACGAAACCTTATCAAACCGCTGTCTGAATAATTGTTCAGGAGACATGCAACCTGCCACTTATGAACACTGTGAGCACATTCATGCTTTGCAAATGATTAGAAGATATTTTGTCACACAACATTTCATTTTCTTGAATTGTGCTGAAGGCATAAAGTCGCAACAGCTTTTCCTGCCATTCAAATGATAAGAGAGCAATTGTTAAATTTGGCCAAAACCACCTCCTAGAATTTCTATTGATTTATGTGCAGTGATCAGTATCTTCATTCCATGCTGCTATATGGTATAAAACACCCAAATTGAGTTATATTTATTGTATTATACAACAGGACCCTTGAAATGCCACGAATATCAGACCCACGTTAAAGACCTCGTACGCTAAAAGCCGAGTGCTGAGAGATGCCACGGGTGGCTCATGGTCACACAAATCAGTTGCAGAGCTGGGCAGGTTGCCCAAGTCTCTCAATTAGATCAGACTACACAGAGCCTGAGCCTGGCGGAGCCCGAGTATGAAATACAATCAATAGCCAGGAATGCAGTCTCCAGGATTTTCCTCGTGCACGCTGGAACATAATCTAGCCTCAACCTGAGTCGGTGCTTAAGAACTTTTTCTCTAATATAACCGTGGCCAGCTCCAGGCTGGACAGATTTACTAGATTCAGGGCTGACAGGTGTGATGAACAGATTTACCAGGTCCCTCTTCAACCAGCAACTTGGCTGGAAGCACAACTAGAGCACAGCCCCGGCGGGTTAGCGGCAGTCTTAAAAAGAGAGGCAAGAGGATCTGAATTTCCCTCCTGCTTTCACTGCCGGGAGTCAGGAGTAGTGCAAATGAAGTCAGCAGAGCTCGACTACTGCAAGGTTGGCTGGATATTTCCATGTCTGAAGTAAAGATGTGCAATGTTTTCCATAATGTAAGAGTTTTCATTCTAAAATGACTCAGATGAAAACAATGACCTCACTGGCTGGCTGGATTTAACACAATGACACATTAGTCCGATCTCAAACCTATTTCCTCCCTCTCCCAGTCTCCACT